TTGCTCGATAAGATGCCAATCGATTAGATTATCGGGAGACGCAAAAGTAGTTAGGTTAACACCAGATTTTATAACAAATTGAAAACTAAAGGAGGAGAAATTGAAATGGTGTCGAATATTTGCGAGTGAATACGAAACTTACTTTGCTTGTAAAAACTGCTCTTTATTGTAACGGTGACGTTTGCTTGCACCACTACTGCCTCCATGGCGCTGTGTAGCCCCAGTTGAGCCGCTACCGCCACTACGACCAAAAACGTTATAGCTAAAAGCGTTTTCGGCGTTACGTGGTGCATAGTGAAAGTTGAGCAAATGGTTCAAATTCTGCTTCTTGCTTCCTGGCATGTACACAGTATTGAGCTCGTAGTCAACATGTGGCTGAAACTTCTTTTTGACCAAAGCACCGGTCTCCACCGGCTCTACTGCAGTGGCTAATCCGGCGCTGGTAGCAGGAACATCATCAGCCGCGCATGTAAAGCTGTCTTCGTTAGTGCCAGCTTCATTGCCGTTACCAACATTGTTGCCGCCGCCACCGCCACGCTGGCGTGGACGTTTATCGACATTAGGACGTGCTTTGACTGAAGGGAACTGCTTGGAATTGCGCTGCGAGTCGTTACGAGTTGTTGTTGAAGGTTGTTCACGACGACGCGAATTATTTGGCCAAGGCTTTACTTGTAAATCTGTGCGTAAAGATAATTGACACAAATGAAATACACATTTTTCTACATGAATAAATACAAACCTGCAGATGAGTTGCGAACCGAAGAGTCAGTGGGCTGNCTAAAAAATTTGGCCCAACGAGTAAAATGCAACGAGAAATAGTTGACAACCGGAAATTTCCAACTGTCATTAGCTCGTTCAGTGCGCGAGCAGTTGGTTTGGGAATTAAAAATAAAACAGATATTTAGTTCTAAAGATATTGCTTATTAGGTCCAAGTGAGCATAATTTTTCACCCGGACTTGTATTAATTGAAAAAATCGTTTAACAATAATACTACCCGCAAGACTTCTTTATTTGCATCAATTATTGAATAGCAAAAATCAGAATGGCCTTGCTATGAACACCGCCAATCAAAACCAATTGGAATTTGTATACTTTTCATTCGCAAACAAAAAAACAGCTGTAATTTCACTGATAGTTGTTATCACTTCTGCACTTTGGTCTATTTACAGAGTAGTATAATCTTTTATGTAGAATTTTGTGAAATGTTGCATCGTCATAAATTCAGTGGCCAAATTGCTTTGGATTTTAGAAATGCGCGAGCCCGCCAACCAGAAATTGTTCGGTCCGTGCAAAAGGATTCCAGGTATACGGATGAACTTGCAGAAGACCTTTCGGATTTACTTCGCTTGTCCGGGTCGCGTAGCTGGATAAAGTATCATCAGTTGTGTAAGCTCTTTGCTGAAATCACGTATCATGGATTTGCTTCAATTAATAATTTACAAACACTTGGCGAGGAATACACAGGAACTATTCAAGTAGATAGCGCTTACATGAACATTCCGTCACGTTTGGTAAACACTTGACTTTGAGCAAATAATTTACAACTCCTGAAACAATTACAACATTTTATGCAACATTTATAGCTGCAGCTGGTTTCCATTATACTTGAATTTGGTGGAGATGCTTTGTATCTGCGAATTTTACAGAAATTGGAAAAATCCATTAGGGATAACGATGAAATGGTACCAGAGGCAAAGCAGAAATTACTAACTGCAATACATGTTATGCGTTCCTCACCACAATACATCAAAGCGTTGCATAAATCGCTCTTCTACCTACGCTCTAACAAATACCAAATTTCGAAGCGCTTCACAGGCATAAATTATGTGCTGATACGTCATTGGCTGCAGCCTGATTTTTCCTTATACGGCTACAAATTACTTGGTGTTGTAACATTTTTACAGGTTACCCTATCATTAGTAATAAACGCATATGAAGCATGGAAGGAACATCGAAGAAAACAAAAGGAAGTAGTTACTAACACTACAAGACCTTTACTCAGCACAGATCAAGGTATTGAGGAGCGTAAAAAATCTGATGCGCCACAGTGTATCCTTTGTTTGGAGCCACGCATTAATACGAGCTTGACACCGTGTGGTCATTTATTCTGTTGGAACTGTTTATTGGATTGGCTAGACGAACGAGATGAATGTCCGCTGTGTAGAGAGAAATTAAAAAAGTCTAGTATAGTACAGTTGCAAAACTACCAATAGCTTAAGTGTGAGTGGGTTTGAGTCATGATTCATTGAATCACGGGTTTGAGTTACATACGTATGTATGTGGGGGACCAAGGCGAATTTAATATTTAATTAAATTCTTATTTTGAAGGATTATTATGAATAAATTCTATTATTGTTATTTTTGTAATGCCGGATAGGTTTTCTTACCAGGATATGTAAGAAGGGAGTAGGAATGAAGACACATTAGTGGTATTCACCAAAGTGAGCAAGTGGCCTGGCAGTCTGGCGAAAGAGCAGATCAGCACAAGCAACGGCTGTTGACAACTGCCGATGCTTGAGCTCATCCGCTCTTTTGCCAGAGTGCTAGGCCCCTTGCTCAATTTGGTGAATGCAACAAATATTTCTGACGCTGCTGAGGCAATTTGGCTTGGTTGGAGGAGTCACTTGCATAGGTCACCAAACCAACATAGCGTTGGCTGGCAACCAATGGTTCCGCTTCGGACCACCTGCACATTGGACTGCNAGGTCACCAAACCAACATAGCGTTGGCTGGCAACCAATGGTTCCGCTTCGGACCACCTGCACATTGGACTGCCAGTGCAGCACGAGCAAGTTGAAATATATTTCCGAAATCGATTTGCGCGCTTTGAGTTGCAGTCACACCTTACAACTTTCATTTCTGAAACTGGGCTCAAATCGTAACATCCGTTCACGGATCGAAAATCATACGAAAGAAAATTACGTGATACGTTAATCGTACAAGCAGAATGGGATAAAGAGCACGTTCACGTAGTATATCATAAACCGAAAAATGTGTTTTACATGACGAGTAATACGATATCGTAGAAACGTTCCAGCAAGTTTTGGACTAAAACTTGTAGAACTGTCGGATTTTAAGATGTTGTATATCGATAGGTGCAATCCCGTATTCCTCGGACTCGGACTAGTAAAATTGTCAAAAAATATAAATTCGCTCAGAGTGAGAGAGTAACACTGAAAAGTACGGGATCGCTTTCTAGTAAAAAATGGT